ATATCTGGTAAGAACTAGAACATTCGCCAAAGTACAGGATAATTCTTAAAAGTAGAGAGCGTGAGAATCACATGATCTCGATGACGCAACAATGTTAAGGAATGTCGTTGTTCTACAGGTAACAATATTTTCAGTGTTATTCACGACCTGTCTTTGCGAGATTTTTCCAATAAATTCAACTAGTACCATTCGAAAGAACTTTAACAAGTCTAGCGTAATTAGTGTACTACCCAGGTGATAACGCCCTCTATTATAATACAGTTGCAGAATATTGATCAGAAGAACCAATTATTAAAATATTCAATAAAAAACAAAAAGGCTTGAAGCCTTCAAGCGACATCTTATAAGACAATTCGGAATGATTGAAAACAATACGATTTAAAGTATTTTTACAAACTTAAGCTATTTTTTCCTACTGATAAGGTTGTTTTCTTTTGTGCTGATATTTTTAGAAGATTTTCTGTTTCGTACAGTTTCTGTTTAAATTACTAGTTTTTCTACATTTCAAATTTTATAAACATTATGTATAATTTTGTGGTGAACTCGATTAAAGTTATAAGGTTCTTTTAGTATCACTGAGCTAAGAAAAACAGAATCCATATTGCTTCTATTTTAGAAAATAGAAATAAAAACGAGATGTTGCTGTTTTAGCCAAAAAAACTATAATCCAAACTATTACTACTTTGGCTCATTCAATGCAAACATATAGTTTTGTTAAACCAGTGGCGTAGACAACAGTCATTTAAAGTTGCTCGAGCACCACCAGGGCAGACAGAAATTTGGTCTGACCATTTGTATAGTTATATACAGAACCTGTCCGGGGGTGTGCCCAAAAATATGTTGTGGGTTGCATTGATAAAATTGCATCAAAACAACAGATTTTATAAACAATAACTAGATCTTAAGAACTATATGATATACTTAATTATACACTAACACGTAATTCCATCATCTTGTTTATTTGTTCCCTCCTGTTCACCCTGACCAGGTATTGCCAGATGGTTAGGGGACGCTCGACTCGCAATCTAATGGTCACTGGTTCGAATCCCCCCTCCCACCAAACATGCTCGCTCTTTCAGCTGTGAAGGCGTTATAATGTGATCGTCAATCCCACTATTCGTTGACAAAAGAGTAGCCCAAGTGATGACTAGTTGCCTTCCCTTTAGTCTTTCACTCATACCAAAAAACTAACAGTCCAAGTTATTTTCAATTTGGTTATTTGTTATTTAGGTCTTATTCATTATTTTATGCTCTCTCTCTTATTGAAAATGCTCTCTCTTATTGAAATCGTAGGTGTAACGCAGCATAAATTAAGAGAGGCCAACAATAGCGAGCGAATGAAACACGTCTCCGCCGCGCAATCCCAAAATGTAATAGACCAAAACCCCCAAATTATGCATTATTGTGAGCTCTGACCCCCCCCCCCCTAAAAATACTCAAAATGGACAAATCCAATCTTTTGTGTGTCATTGTCACTGTGTTGGACGCATGAAAATTTATATTTGTGCAAATTTTCATCTTGATTGCTGTAAATATGACCGCACAGGAGCCCAAAATATACATTTTTCGATTGTTTGACCACATAAAATAATTAAAATGGCCTAAATAAAAAAAAGGTATTTGGGCGTATTGGACCAAGGTATAACTCTACCAAGTTTCAGGTCAATCCGCCGAGAAATGAAGAAATGGCTGTCGATTGGAAATATGTTTGGAAGAAGATGAAACAATAGAAAAAACAGCATGTTTCTCTCTGTGGAGATATAAATATTTTTTTTCTAAAAAAATAAAAAAAAACTTTTTAATATTTCTCAAAATTATATAAGCTCAGAGATGCGCGAAAATTAATTTGTAACTTATGTTCTAATCTAAACTTTTAAACTTTATAAACAGGGCACAGTCGGTTTCTTGTGTATCTAATGCTTCACTGAAAGCTAACGTCTTAATAATTCTTACTTTTCTTATCTCATAGTTTTTTGTGTGTTTTTTGGGGGAGGGGGAAGAGGGCTTATAAAACATTTTAGTATTCAGTTCAGAAAAAATGTCGTCTTGTACATTTATTATTTTTGTTTTAAAAGAGGGAAAACGTAATATTCATCAGAAGAAAAAAAAAGATTTCGTAAGACATCGACACTAATTAGAGAAATTCAGAGTGATAAGTACATATATTAGTTTCCAGTACACAGCTATATATCTCAGTTGTTAGGTGCTGTAACTCGTCTTCCACTGACAATCTGGAAGCTAAAAATAGCAACATTGATTACCGGAGCTCACTGTTCATTCATCAAGTCGTGTGAGAATAAACCAAATTACAAAGTTATTAATAGGGGATGTTCTTGTGTGTTTATAGATTCATAAAATTGTACTAATGAAACCAGAGCTAAAGGTATTGCACAAGAAAATGACAAAACAAATAAAAACTACATTGTTTCGAAGCTTATAATTAGCTGGCTTAAATGCGTTGTCATCCGTTGTGTTTTTGTAATCATTCATTGCCTTAGGAGTAGGAGTGAATTCAGAAGTTTGTATTGTCGTCAAGCCTATAATCTGAAGTGTTTGGACGCCCCAAGAATACGGATTTTAATTTGAAAACGTTTTTTCTCTCTGTGTCTTAGGGAAGTGGGAAGAAGGTATAGAGATACGTAACTGGTGGCATGTAACGTGTAAGGCTAAGTTCATTCACTAAATTTCTCCGATATTTCTAACTCTAAACAGTGTAAAAATTATCATGTTTGGTTTATTTTTAGCTTACAAAAAAAGGCTAATGCGTAAAAACAAATCCATCAGACAGTACATTAATTTAACGTATTAGTAAACATACGAAGTAAACAAGATACGTACGTGACGATAACATATTTGTTTCGGCATGATTCAGTACATTAATTTAACGTATTAGTAAACATACGAAGTAAACAAGATACTTACGTGACGATAACATATTTTTTTCGGCATGATTTGCCTCCCACTAGAACACCAGCAGGAGCTGAACATCTCTCTTCACGTTATAAACCACAACAGGATAGTAAAAACTGTTACTTAAGCACAAGTTTCTTGCCGTGTCCTTATTTCTACATTCTTCACATCAAAGTTGTCAGATAATAAGGTCTTGTTTGTTAACCCTAGTTGTTAAGTTATACATTTCATTCGACGTGCACTTTTGGACACACCCACAACTAACAATTGTTGATAGATAAAAATATTTCACTTAGAATATAATTTTCATTGAATAAACATTCATTATTTATTTATTTGTTTTAAAGAAATAACTACTATTTTACATTGAAACGCGCTCTTTCCTCTTGTCTTTTTATTTAGTTGGTTGCTTTTGGTTGTAAAGTGCTTCTTTAGACGTGAAACATATTATCCAATCAGATGTTGTAACGTACGTCCTTTTTAAAGAAGGAATGTTTGGCTAAAGAATTATGAAAAAACTAAGCACTAACATAACTGCATCATGAAACATGTTAACTTCTTCGCGTAAAATTGATATTATATGAAAAGTGAGTTATTTCACCCTTAGTACAATTTATAACGGGACAGTAGCGACTGCTTAAACATCATGTCACTTTAATTATTCTGTAAACACAGAAAATTTCATCTGTTGTTTAAAACGGAACAGTAGCGACTGCTTAAACATCATGTCACTTTAATTATTCTGTAAACACAGAAAATTTCATCTGTTGTTTAAAACGGAGCAGTAGCGACTACTTAAACATCATGACACTTTCTTTCTTCTGTAAACACAGAAAATTTCATCTGTTGTTTAAAACGGAGCAGTTGCGACTACTTAAACATCATGACACTTTCTTTCTTCTGTAAAAACAAAAAATTTCAACTGTTGTTTAAAACGGAACAGTTGCGACTACTTAAACATCATGACACTTTCTTTCTTCTGTAAACACAGAAAATTTCAATTGTTCAGCCTTAGATGCAAGTAAAAAAACAATAGTTTCGACAAGAAATCAAATAATTTTTCAATATATTTAAAGTTGTACAATAGAAATTACTTGTAGCAATGATTCCAGTAATCATATCGAAGTATGCCGATGTAACCGACCCAGAACTGACATGACTCTTCCTTATCCAACTGTGTCACAGATCGTACAAACTTTAGTCCACTCACTACAGCAAATGACCACCACACATCTCCACCTGTCGACACGCTAAATACCGGAGCTCGAATGCGGCCTGAATTCGTGAATGAGTTATACACCGCCACGTGACAATTAAGGCGGACTGAGGGCGCAGTTGGTGCGCTAGGGGCAGTTTAACAACTACACGGCATTCAATAGTACCGCCCGTTTTTCGTGTACAAAACCAGTTTTGGTCCTCACCCATGTGAAGTATCTTCCTCCTCCCCTTCTTTTTCAAATTGCTATTTAGTTATTAGAAATCTCTACTATTGTGCAACTTATCTATGCTTACATCACCTTCACGGCGCGTTAAGTTATTCGATATTTTATTTATTTACCAATTTCTTACACCATAATCTTTCTTACATCTTTCCATTCTTTGATCTTCATCTATACTTAATTAATTTATATCTTAGCCTTGTCTTTCCTATAATAGTAATAATAAAGTCCTTCATCGGCTATGTTTGTACTGTAGACAGTCATATATTCCTTGTTTCTAAACAACGCTATTTATCTCTTACCTCCAGCTTAACCTTTTATCTTTTTTTAAAAATTTATTCAATAACCATATTTTTAATAACCTGAATAACCTCCCCGCTAAGTTATTGCTTTTTACATAATTGAATATCCTTTATATACTTGCCGACTTTGGTCTTTTTTTCCAGGGATATTCATTGTTTAAGATATAAATATTTGTTCGCTTGATAACTTAGATTTGTATCATCAGTACCGATGTTTCCTTTCCTTTATACTTTGATTTTTGTTATCACCGAACAAGAGGAGACGCTTCCTCCTTCAGACATTCTCGTAATACGGCTCTAGTCGTGTATTTTCAGAGCTATTTTCTAAACTAAACCTTTGAAGTCCCCTAGTGGCACAGCGCTAAGGCTGCGTACTTTCAACTCTAAAAATCAGGTTTCGATAATTGTGGTGGGAAGAGCACAGACAGCTCATGATATAGCTTTGTTCTTAACAACAAACGAAAATACTTATTTTTAAGCAAGTAGAATACCCTCCATTTTGTTAGGTCGCTCGACTTGTAATCTGAGGGTCGCAGGTTCGAATCCCAATCTCATCAAATATACTCGACGTAGGGGCGTTATTATGTGACGGTAAATCCAACTATTCGTAGCACAAGAGTTGGCGGTGGGTGGTGAATACTAGCTGCCTTACCTCTAGTCTTTCACTGCTACATTAGGGACGGCTAGAGTAGATGTAGCTTTGTGCGAAATTCAAAACAAACAAACTTGATTTCGGAGTTATTTGTTAAATTATTCAAATAATCAATTTTTTACTTGACAGCTTCAATTATTTTAAAAGACACTCTCCTTCATCCGTATTTCTCAGATCATTCTTCGTTTTTTAATACTTTCCCCCATTTTTATCATAAACCAGGAAAAATTGAATAACTGGAATCTTAACCCTGGCGACAGTTGGGCAACAGACTAAGACTGTCTTTATAAATAAGTAAAATCATTGATGTGTTTAAATATTAATGAGACATTAAATGTTCGAGAACTTTGAAATTATTCTTGTATCAAAGATCATCACATGCTCCAGAGTATATAATTTATTTGCAGAAAATGTTTATGGAATTTAGTTCCTTTGCTTTATAATTGGCTACCTACGCTCTGTCAACCGAGAAGATCGAACCATGGGCGCTCGAAGGAAGGGGCAAGAGGGGACATTTGCCTCTTTTACATTTCACAAGAAAATTGCACGTATTCTGAAGTAAACTTAACATCGTAGTTAAACTAAATATTTTTTGTATTTTTTATTAAAATTGTTGACTTACACTGTAAAAGCTGATCCCCTGCATGCATGTTTTGCACCCCCCCCCCCGAAAATATTTCTGTGGGCGTCCATGGATCAAACCTAGTATTTTAAGTCTGCAAACTTACCACTGACTTACCTGGGGACATAATTCAGCGAAATTAAGTTAGATTTGCTTCATGAATAATAAACATTATGTATTCTGCATAAACTTTGTCATTATACCTATATTTGTGAAACATTTTAAATTATCTGTAAAAACAAATACAGTTTTTATTTATTGTTTATTTTAAGTATTTATGAAACAGATTTGCTGAAAGTGCTTGCCTTAGGGGCGTTATACTTTTACAGGCAATCCCACTATTTATTGGTAAAGAGTAGCCCAAGAGTTGGCAGTGGATCGTGTTGATTAACTGCCTTCTAAATTAGAGTCGGCTACCACAAACAGCTTTCGAGTAGCTTTGAGCGAAATTCAATAAAAACAACCAAACAATTAAGTTGTTTTAACAGCTTGTACCATAGAATGAGTATCCCAAGAATTGGCAGTGGATCGTGTTGATTAACTGCCTTCTAAATTAGAGTCGGCTGGCACAAACAGCTTTCGAGTAGCTTTGAGCGAAATTCAATAAAAACAAAAACAACCAAACAATTAAGTTGTTTTAACAGCTTGTACCATAGCATTCATTACTCTTTTTTTCCTGTTCTCTTGTATAACTGGTTCATCTTTGAATTATCTCATTATAACTCTAAACCATAATTGTATTTGTAAATAGACAAATCTAGGAATTATCACTGATTAGTAAAACCATTTCTTTTAGCTTTTACCCCAAGTTAAAATTGCTGAGTTTTAACAGTTTTCTTGCTTCAATCATTAATTCTTTAACTCACTTCTGAAAGTAATACACGTTCCTCTATCATACGAATAAAATCAACGATACTTTAGCGATGTTTATTTTCAGGTTTCCCAATAATTTAAAGGAACGTGAATAAAAACTGTCCAAATAACATATATTATAATTCAACCATAATCTGTGGACGAGAATAGCAAGTCTTGGTACCATGAAATAACTAACCAATCAACAATATGCCTCTATCGTAGCATCTATAGTACAAACTAAAGGCTATGAATGCCGACCCGACCCTTTCTCATACATATTAATTTTGGTTTTGGAAACACGCCCAGCTAATAGACAGCTTCAAGCCGCCAGATTAAAGGCTCGTGCTGTTTATAAACTCCAGCATATAATGTGGGGTTAGGTATAGACTGTATTCATATACTTTCGAAAGCATGTCGACACCACGAAGCTCTGTATCATGCATACTTTTATATAGGACTCGTTCATCTACACTGAAAATTTCTGATGTCCTGGAAACTTGGCGTGTTTGTCTATACCAAAGAATCAGGTGTTTGTTAGCTATCCTGTATCAAAGAAACAGGTGTTTGTTCGAATAAAATTAATATGGTTGCTGGTCAGAAGCAATCTTCGAGGCTTAAGAACTTTCAAGTTCAAGTCCAATATGACTTCATAAAGTTACTTACCGCCATAAGGATACACTGAAGAGTTCACAGTTGGTAACTCATAGCTTCGGGGATTATTTGAGGTCCGATTCTCCGCGGGTCCACATCTCAGGCCTGAACCGAAACCAGGGAATTGTTCACTCGTGTGATTGTAAGAGGAGATTCTTGGTCACATTGGTTGACCTGTGACGAAGCGAGAAGTCCACAGTTCTCTTTGTTTCATGTTATACTGCCGACTATTTGTGGCCAACAGCGCCATCTTTGTCGGCTCTCGTGAAAGTGGAAGTATAATTTGGATGGGATGAAGAATGTGATCATGTATTCCGATCCCTAAAGATTGGTTTAGTGGATGCTCGAGCGCTTGGTTATCCCAACCAGGAGTATGAGTTTCTACTGGACAATGACGCCAGCGACAATAGAACTGGAACAGTGTTATCGCGATTGCAGGAAGAACTGGAACATGCACTCGTGTATGCTAGTTGTATGCATACGTCTCCCGAATGCTTATACAGTGCTATGAAGAAAGAGTTGTTTGTTGTGGTTGTCTTCGTAAAACACTATCGCCACTACTTGTATGGTAGAAGATTCACCATCCCAGTGGATCATAGGTCCACATCACAAAATCACAGATGCACTATTTCACCATACGGCGAGACCTTGTTCATTCGTGGAATGTCCTGATCCTTGACATCATGGCCATTTCTGCCGATCATGAAATAGACAACTCCATCAAAGGACAGAT